TTTATCAAGCTTAGCAACTAAGCTGTATTTGAGTCTAAAAAATATATAAAATTTCGAGCTCACTAAAAACTCACCTTACCCCTTGAAATCTTGTGTGAAAAAAAAACGAGATTATCTCAATAACACATCAAAATGGCTGAGAAAGCCAGTAGGGGACATTTTCAGTTTTTGATTGGTTATCCATGTCATATATAGAAGTGTATATAAGGGAGAATTTCCAAAAAATGGAAAGAGGTGGGTGGGGGCCACTGTGTTTGATTCAGTACATGAGCAATACCTTAACAAATAGAAAAGATAAGAGGTTCTTATCTTGGTAATTTGAGTTCCTAATTCGTACAAAACTATAGACTTTGTATTTTTACATCACAACCATCTAATTTGAACCAGTGCTGCATTCAACATACCACGTGACAAAAAAAAAATCGATGTTTAGCAGAGTTTTTTAATATTTACATTTAAATTAAGAAATTGAATAATGTATAATACTAAAAATTTGAATTATAATCTACAGTTTGAAACCAAACTTATTAACATAAACTCATAAAATAGTAGTTCAATAAAATTTTAAATGCAAGTCCATAAAAACAATGACATGGCCTTTGACCTGTGACCTGCCTGGAAAGGGTTAATGGACTGTGAGTTTAATCAACAATGTGTTGTGATTCTTGCCAATTTCCATCCTATATGTTAAAAAAGAAAACAGAAAGGTTCAAAATTCAGGCTTAATAATTCAGATACTTATTGATGCAATGTCATCTATAAGACTTATCCTGGCATCCAAAAACACTTCAGTTTTAACCAGATACTTAATGATGCAATGTCACCTGTAAGACTTACCCTGGCATCCAGCTGAGTTCCTGCTTTAATAAGATATTCAACAACTGGAACTTGATTACACTCTACTGCATACATTAGTGGTGTATACAGTTTATTGGTCAAGTGATCAAGAACAGCACCTGCCTGAAAGTTTAATATTAGAATTAGGAAGACATTAAAAAATTGTAAGCACAGCTTAATCTTTGAGTTAAAACTAGCACTATCAATCACACTTATAACCTTGGCACTGCTTGTAATGCAGCTAGCCAAATACATTTTCCACTAAATCGATGAATGCTAATGAATAGCTAACTCTCTTCTCTATGGCATATCTTTTTACTTATGCTGTGCAGTCTTTTTTTCTACACCATATAAGTCATTATACACTTCACAAAGGCCTTTTTAACCTATTCAACACAAAGATTAGGTACACTAAAAATTACGAGCTGCAAAATGATCATTTTCTCCCAACTGCAATGAAACGAACAACAAAAAGTGTATCATAACAGCATTGTGTCTGTTTATAAAAGTCTACAATAAATTTTACTTTATTTTAACAGAAAGATATTTCAACAACCTCAATAAATATAGATAAAGCTAAAAATGTTTTGTGTTTTCTTCTGTAGTTTAAGCACAAAGTTGCACCATGGGCTATCTGTGCTCTGCCTACCACATGTATCAAAACCCAGTTTCTAGCGTTTTAAATCTGCAGACATACCACTGTGCCACTGAGGGGGGAAAATATCTTGTGAAAAATAATATCACTGCAGTCCTGTCAAATTCATCATGAAAACTCAACTATTAAAATTTCAAAAAAAATTATTTAAATGTGTTTACAAAGAGCAATCAAAACCTCCAATTCAATTTCAAAACAAGTAGAGAACTGAAAAGTACATTAAAAATGTTAAGTGCTTCTCAGATAATTCTGAACTTTACAGAATATAAGTTTTTTAATATTTTACACTGTTGCACTTTTTGTTAATGGTATATTATTCATTTGGTTAATTTTTAGTTCTGATTGGTAAATAATGATAATGTATACATGTGTGTATGTAAAATCACAATCTAAAGAAGCTCAGATAACACTTCAGAGCATTCCTTCTTCATGTTCCTCATGCTTTTATCACCTGATAATTCCAGGTTAACATTGATGAAATGTCATGAGTTATCTCAACTTTGTTTCCATCATTCAATATTGCCAACTTCCATTATTTTTTTTTATAGTTTCTACTAAGCCCTCATTTTAAGCTGTACTTGTAGAGACAATTACAGGAATATTATAGCAATTGTATTTGCTGAGAATTGCCTTTAATATCTTTCAATATACTCAAAAGTTGCAGCATGTAATTTTTTTAAAGATGTTACTATTTAACACATAAATAATATATATCTACCAGTTTGACAATCTACCATTGGTGTAAAAGCATTGCTTTTCATCATGGATGTATATATATGTAGTAAAATACTGCTGCAAATAGTCATCTTCATAAACAGATACTACATCTAATGCAACAATTATTTTTCATCCATCAGATATATTTTTGTAAAATTTCTATAGTTAGATCACTTGTTTTTAAGATGTATTTTGAAAAAAAAACGTGTATGTGAAGTCAAGGATTACATATTTTTCTAGTTAAAAGAAAACTTTCTTTCTTTTTGAAAACTATATACTTTTGAAGGATACATGTGATACTCATTTATAATAGGAATTTTTTTCAGCTTTCACTGATGAAAATTTTTCCTTATTTGCTTTTCATAAGTAATGAGCTTGTTCTTAAAGAAATTGCAATGATAAAATATTAATAATTAAAGCCACTTCATTTTGAAAATGTTATAGTTTTTAAATGAAAAGGTGGACTTTATCAATATATATAACTGAAATGTAAAAAAACTAAGTACCTGAACTAAAAGGTGCACAACAACCAAATGTCCAGCACTAGATGCTGCATGAAGGGGAGTTTCATTCTCATGTTCCTCAAATTTGTAATTAGGGTCAAAACCCAGTGCTAATTTCAAAACAAACAGGCATTCATAAATACATTTATTATTAAAACATTCAGATTCTTGCACTTTTACAAGTTCTTGTACAAAAAAAAATGATGTAAGAGAAGTTTTATTAATTTCAAGTTGATCAATTGCTTGATTTTTGCATATTTAGATTGTTCACTGGAAAGTCATATCTTAACATTTTTTAACACAAAACCTTTGATAAAATATAACTACATACAAATTAACTCATGAATTATTAAACTAATATATTAATATTTTAATTTACACAACAACAACAACTGAAGAACTGGTGTCATTAAGGACCTAAAATGGCCCACTGTATCAGAAACAAATAAAATGGGAAGGAAGCTTTGTCTGTGGGTAATCTTGAATATGTATCAAACAATAACACAAGCTCATGTGGAGCATGAAATCAACACTTGCAGGGAATGCTATACATTAGTTTGCAGTTAGTCTGAAATCCATGCTCCATGAAAGGCTTAGTCTCCCACACTTCACAGTTTAGTCTACCCACTTCACAGGTGTAAACTCTATGGATAGCGAATAACAGCTTTATTTGGAGAACTTTTATGTGGAACTGTTAGTGTCACCTAGTGAAAAGGACACCAGTATGTGGTAGTGTCACTGTCAGTAAGTAGAAAGGGCCCACATCTGTTCTATTCTGTGCTGCCTTAATCATCACAACAAAAACACGTCCCTTTAAACACCCAGCATGTACTTGATGCAGTTAACAAAGATGGAATTCTGCTGAGAAACATTGCATGTTATGCATATTACTTAGTAAATAAGGTGTACTAGGTTAAGGCTTGTTTCAAATCATTATCATGTAATGTATAGGCATCATACTAAAATTTTATAACACATAATGATACTTTGCCTGCCCATTCTGTGTTATAATCTACTATATTGAAATCCAGTATGACATACATTTCTCCATCAGTCACCATATACAATTATCTGCTTTAGTTGTACATATATAATATTTCCTCTAACAATTCCATAACAGTTAGCCCAGAAGATATACTCTGATTAATTTGAGGCCCACAGATATGTCAATAGTTGCCACCCTGGAAATTATGCCTATTCATGATGACATAAAAATGCATAAGTTCAAGAAATCAATTTAACACAAAGATAAAAAAAAAACCTGTAACCCTAGCGCTTTAGAAAGATGTACATTTCTTCTTCAGTTTGCTCCTTAAGGGAAAAGGTCCACCTTTCAAAAGCTCTCAGATTATAGGGTTTCATATCTTTGTATACCACAGCTGTCTTGTCTCTAATATATTTAAAACCGTAATAAAAATCTGATATACACTATTTTCTTATCTGCTAAAAACTAAGTTCAAAATATTCAATTACTTTAAAACTTTTAAAATTCCTTTTTAACTGTATGTTTTTTTGTTTTTTTTACAGTATACTGGGCTACACACTCATTTCTTAATGTTAGGTGTATTTGTCACAAAGTATTAATTAAAAATAAATGACTAAACTGGACTAACTGCTTAGTGTAAAATTTCTTGAGGGAGAAGAAAGAAGACTGAAACATGATCCAATCATCATTACATTCAATTTTAAAAAATAATTATTAAAATAAACATCTCTTAAAAATGGATTACTCAAAGTTTGAAAAGCTGGAGAAACAAAGTGAAGTAACTTGTATTGCAGGTGCAGTGCTACTTCATACATAAGACAGATCTAAGTCCAAACAACCTTATAAATAACATAAGCTAATTATTTCTGTTTCTTGAACTTAACCCAAGTTATGTTTAACTTTAAAAGTTTTTCAGGAGTATTAGGTTTGTACAGTGCTAGTCTGATTGTTAAACCAACCCAGATGTCTAAACTGATTGGGTCAATATTCCAAACTTCATATGGTCATATTTTTAACTTCTACCTGAACTTCAAAAACAACAGAAACGTAGCTGAGAGAAACTGAAACAATGAAAACTGCCTTAATTTAATGTATGATGGAACAGAAAATATAGTAAAAATTTTTGTTTTAATATTGATTTGTTTTTTTTCATCACAAGTAAGTACAGTTTTCCTTCTAATAAACAAAGCAATGAAATCCAGCAATTCAAAATAGTATTTCTAAGCATTAAATATTTCATTTGAATATATATTGCAAACACTTTACAGGCAAGTATCCTAATTTCTTTGTAACAAATTTCTAGCAATCCCTAGTTATAAAATAAAAACTACAACACTAAGTGCCCAAAAAGAGTTTAATTTCTTGAATAAAATTAGTTATTAAAAGCAAGCAGTGTCAAAAACTCAGATATATGTTAATTAAACCAAATGAGAGAAGAAACAAAAGATGAGAACAACCATCTTCTTCTTAACCTCAGTACATACCAATGAGCTGAAGAATTTTGTCAATGTTGCCTGTTTTAGCTGGGGCATAAAAACTTTTGATGGTATACCTCACATTCTGTAGCTTATCACTTGCTAAAGCAATCAGAAGTGCCTCTAACTGAGCTCTATCTGGCCCAAGGGGTAACCCAGCTGAAAAGGAATTATCATCTTAAGGAATCTCATTTTCCATAAAAATTTTCAGGAAATACTGTGCATGTAACTTTTATAAAGAAAATTATCAAGTATACAAGTTGTATGCATTTTATAGCTAAATTTGATATCAAAGTCTAAACCTTAAAATGATACTTGTTTCTCTAAAATAAGATTTAGAAAAAAAAAAAAAAATTAGTGGTACATGATTCTGAAATTTACTCATCTTTATTGGCTGTTTGAATAAGTATTTATATTAAAACTGTTTTTCTTTTTTAGGGTACATATCTTATTCTCTGTCAATTTCACAAGTGTTGTTACCAGATGACAAAATTTTTCCAGTTTCTGGAACCATGAATGATCTTGATGAAATTGCCTCTTCTTCTTCTTCTCCTTTCCGCTTTATTTCTAATTGTCTTGAAAATGCCATCTTTGCTTTGGGTCTGAAAACCAAATGATTTCTTCAAATATATATACTGAAATTCACACTGACACAAAAACTAATCAAAATAGAAATTCACATCTTAATTAGATGTAAAAGAAGAAAATAATGTTTTAGTTCATTTCAGTTAACAACTACTGCAACCTTCTATTCAGCTTCTAAGAATCATAGATAGATTTTACAGTTCAAGCCTGACTGCTAATGTGACACCTTAAAATGTAACAAATCTCATATGAGAGTTATCTTTTTAGGACTATTTTGTCTACTTTGTACTAACACGTACTACACACACTGTACCTGTTGGACTTTCAACCAATGATCCTACAGGGCTTTTTAACTTCCACCTGTCTATTAGTTAAAACAAGTTTCAGTCACTAGATATGACAAGTAGATAGATGCAAAGGTATCCTGATGTATGGATCCCTAATAGAATCAGCAACTAAAATAACAACTTGAAACTAATAAATAAGAGGGTTGTTCACAATGGTCAAGAACTGGCATATCCAATCAGCTTGCCCCTGACCATCTGATGGGCTGTGACAACAAAGGTTAAAAGCCATGACCCTCCTATTGCAATTCAGTTGAAGTATGGTGACTTGTAAGTGCAGATGGCACCTAAAATCAAACCCTTCCGGAAGTGTTATATTACAGTACTTCCAAATTCAACATTCTCCTATTTTGCAATTATTAGAGGATTCAAGGCACACAATTTTAGAATTTTGAAGGTGATATCTATAGTGTTAAGCCATGTCAATAATGCAAGAGACGGTGTGATTCCAACAAGGAAATAATAGATTACTCCATGACTGGCTACAGCTGCACACTGGAGGTAGTTATGAAAAAATTGACAAGCTTAACACTGGAAATAACCAAAAACAACACAATCAGTTGCAGATAAAGCAGGAACTTCTATTGGCAGTGTAAACAAGATAATTCACACAGATTTATGTTTACAAATAAACATAAAAACATGTTCATAAATTCTACCAAAGAACAGTCAAGGATAAATTGTCAGAAGCTGTACAAAAATGAAAGCATGTCACCAGATTAGATAGACAAAGCATTAGTCCACATACATGCATGGAAAAGCCTATACAATTAATTACCATCCTACCAGGGATATAACATTTCAAAAATTGTATAAAAAATATTGTGAAACTTTCTCCAAGGTATATGTATAATGATTTCAGATTACAATTATGATGGTAAGTTAAATATCAAGAGAGTAAAGAAAAAGTTTTAAATGAACTTTGCATATCATGTGAGTATATAGACACCACTATACAGTGAAGAAATGGCATCTTTGTTAAGACTGGATGGTAATAATGCATGGTTCCATCAAGGCAAAGAGTCACGACACATGTTCAAGTCAACAAACCAGTTCTTCCCTAAGATGCAAATACAAACAGAAATTCATGCTATACCATTCACTGACACCCTAATCAACTTCTTTTTCAGTTGTTTAAAGAGGCTTTTAGAAGTCATTGTCTATGCATGACTAATGAATTATGGAAACATGTAAAAAGAATGAACAACAGCACTGAAGTTGTGTTTTACATAAAAGAATCCTGCAATGTAAATTGCACTGCAGAGCATTGTTCCTTAACCAGACACCATAAAGAACCCTACTGATGTTGAAAGAGATGGCTGTATGGCCTAAGAACCCATTCTTGTATTGAAACCATGATAGTAAACAACTCTCTGTATAAGCTGAGTGGTAGTTAAGAAACTGAGCTTTGATTAATGCAAAGTAATGAACACAAGCTAAATATTAATAATTTTTATCAGTTACATATTTAACCAATTAATGTGAATAAAAAAGTAATGAAAATAAATTTTACTTTTATTATGTTAACACTTAAGTCTCTTATATAAGGCACAAGTCAATAAAAGTAGCAGAGTAAAATGGACTCACAGCTAAATGTACATGTAAGAAGCGGTTAAAATAAAGTAAGTCTGTTAAATCTTATTCATTGATCTAAAATATTATACAGAGACACTGAACTTAATTAGTAGTCAACAAAATACAAAGACTGATTTACAATTCTGAGTTAACTTGTATTCAATCGTTAAAATTACTTTGGGATTTACAAGATATGTGCAAGTCTAGAAAACATATTCAGTTTAAAAAGCTGAGCTTCTGAGATTTGGTAAAGTATAGTTTGGATTAATTATTTAAAAGAATATTTACAAATTTTCAGAAAAAAACAATTATATTACGTAATACCAAGCAATATTTCTGGACAATGGTGGACTAATGATAAAGGAAAAAGGGACTCCTTACAATTACCAGTCCTTCCCTTAGCAGAAATTTGACAGGTGCAATATTAGTTTTGAAAAAAAAAATTATACTTAAAACTTTTTTCTCTGTAATGCAACAGCAAAGCATAATACAACTTCTTTCTTTACAACCTACTAAAACTTACAAACAACTTCGAATACAAGACAGTTTAAATTAACTGAAAATAATGACAAAAATGAAGAAAACAGTAGTTTCACCTGTTTAACTTACACTGTGAATAATGGCTTCTGACTAAGATAGAAAATGGGAGGTGTGGGAGTATTCAATTCCAGACGAATTGACTTCAGTGAAGCCCGACCACAATGTGGACACTGAGGAACTTCTGAATTACCTTGTATTGTTTTACACTTTTTATGAAAGAGATGTATTTGCTTCTTTCCTTTGTTGGTTGTGATGCACTGCAAAAAATCACCCTACAAAAAACACATACAAGACTCTAAACCCTATTTACTATATAGTTAGCAAACTTTGTAATTTTTGTTTTCAGGAAATGCTTTACAAGTTTTTAATCACTTTTGCTGCTTTATAAAAGTATATCAGATAATTTACATACAAGTACAACCACATGATGCATTTTGACTTCAGCACAAATCAGTTCAACTCATAAACTGTGAAATAGGCCAAGTACAGTCTTAATATCTAACAAATTGTGTAGGTTTTATTAGATTCTAGGATGATTTAGAATTGATTAAAAGTGTAAACTTCAAGTTTTAGTGATCCTGAGCAAAATATTATTATGTACAATAAAAAAAGTTAACATTTTTTAAAAATGAAAATATATTTCCAATAGAAACTTACCTCATCTCACATAATAGCTTTTTTCAATTCAATGCTGCTCTCCCAACAACCAGTATAGTAGGAGCCAGTTGTGCTAGGATGGTGTGTTGCACTGTTGTTGGTGGTGGTGGGTTGTTGCATGCAACAGTGCAGCAATATCATGCAGATCATAGGTGGGAGTTTCTTGTCTACTGGCAAGCAAAAATGGTGCATATACCAATCATCACTTTGAGATAAAGCAAGAAAAGTTGCACCTCTTCTGTACCAGGGTACACTCTTCACCCAATTGAAAATATGCATCCCTAATTCAAGCAGAAAACAAGCACAGTCTAAAAGAAGATTACAGACATGCCAAATGGTGTACATGGTGGATCAACTCCAGTCCAAAACCAGGCAGCATCAGGTATTTTTGATCCAGTCCACAGTAGGAGGAGGATCCCAACCATCTTCTTAATCCCAGGAATCAGAGCAGAAGGAAAGTAACCTTTCTGCTAACCTAGGAAGAACTCATTTGTGTTGACCCTGCACACATCCAACACCAGGCCACGTAAATCCAAAATCTGGGCAATGGTAAGATGGAGGGTAGGAGCATATGTGATGGATCCAGTCCAAAACCAGGCAGCATCAGGTACTTGTCATCTAGTCTGAAGTAAGAGGAGGGTCTCAAACAGCCACTTGAGTGAGGGCTTATGCTGGGCCTATCCAACACCAGATCACCCAGGAATTGCTATCTGGCAGTGGCAGGATGGGGAAATGCCAGCCAGAAGGGTGAACTTAACTTGGTGAGTCAACTCCAGTCCAAAACCAGGCAATGTTTAGAATTTTTTGTCTGTTCTCTCTACTTTCTATTGAGTAGAACCAGTCATATTCAGGAATAAGCTTCCATAGTCCACCACCCCAGCAACTAGGAAACGATGTGTAGCAAGAACTCTCATATTCCATTAGAAGAAAGTGGGGTTAAAAAAGCTCAATAGCGAGCCGAGAGTTATGTGCTGTCCCCTTTAGGAGCCTCAGATGTTTTAGGTAGAAGAGCACAAGCAGGATAAAGAATTATATAACAACGATGGAAAAAATATGGGAAGCATCAATGGCATACATATCAGATCTTTGATGGGCACAGGCAAAAAAAAAAGTTGAAATAGATTTAAGTGATAAATGGTAAAAGGAACAAGAGGCTAAAGGCTCAAAGGGAGGAAGGGTAAGGGCATGGAAAACAATATTCAGGACCCAACTAGGAAGGACAGCTGGAAAGGTAGGAAGAAATGTCAAAAAAAGAGCCGAAGAACATAAAAAGGACAGGAGAGGAGTATACATAACAGGAACAGGAAACCTAAAAATGAGAAAGCACTGCCCTGTAGTCAGTGATGGTCAACACAGTGATAAACCTTGGTCGAACAGCCATTTAAAAAATTAGAAAGATGGGGGATAGAAGTATGGGAAGAGGAGATAAGAGGAGAAAGAATGACACAATGGCCAACTGTGGAAAATGTGCCATTTTCTTTGAAAGACAAGGTAAAACAAAGGATGTAGGGAATGAGAAAGAAGTAATGCTATGTGTGAAGAGAGTCTGTAATATCTTACAAAGGACTGGACAAAACCAACATGTGAAGTCAGAGTGATGACACTGCCAGATGTGAGAGGTAGGAATAAGATTTGAGTAGGGATCGTGATAGAGATAGAAGTAGAAAAGGAGAGGATCAAAGAAGTTTCAACAGAGGAAACCATAGTTGAGCCAGCCAATATGGAGCTAGTAGGAGGACTCAACATGGAGTATACTAAATTTAGGAAAGAACACAAGAGAGAAGATGAATAGGAGGGTAAACACAGAGAAAGAGGTTGGACCAGCATTGACTGAATACATATACAGCAAGAGCTGATGGATAAGAAACTGGAGAGCAGAAAAAGGGAAACATGGTGTAGAGATGAGTGGCAAATGCATTTATAGGAGGAGTCAACAGACAAGAGCACATTTGAACCCTAAAGAATCAAGAGACCACTCCATAGGCCACTTGTTGGGCCTCAAGAGACAATCAGCAACAAGAGTCAGGACACCTGGCATAGGACAAGCCATATGTCATACTGGTAAAGAATGGGCCCAGAAAAGAAGTACGAACATGTGGAAACAGAGAGAACAAGACCAAGCGCCCCCCTGGCATTTGATATAGGAGACAACTGTACAGTTATCTGCATGGATCATAATTAAACATCCACAAAACATTGTAAGAAAATAATCCCTGCTAGATATAATGAGAAAGAGGAACTCCTTCTGTGGTATTGGTTTTGTTGAGCCACCAGGTGAAGTATTTGAGTAAGGAAGGAGTAAGAAGAATGGTAGAAGACATGTTCCTCAAACAAAGAGAAGAAGGCTGAGCCCTGTAGAAATGCAAATTGAAAAACACCCAAATGAAGGAGATATTGAGTGGGTACGAGATGCAACTTCTCCAAGTTCACCAAACAACTCAGATGAGCTGCATCCTAAGAAGGAAGATAGTTGGGATGAAACTAAATGTGAAAATAAACATCCACCAAAGGGTTAGAAGAATCTCCATGGTAAATCAAGGGAGGTTGAGAAACTAACTGAGACTTGAAATATCTTTGACCAGACGCTGACCCCGATTCTTTGGGAACAATAAAAAGACGGGAATAAAATCCTATAGACAGACGATAAACCTGTTCAATATCATCTTTAGTCATTAGGTCCAATACAGCCATAAACAGACGTTGGTAAGAAACAAGATCCCTTGGAGGAGGGAAAGTAATGGGAACAGGAAACAGCGGAGGAGATGAGGAAAAAAAAACAAAGTATAAGGCTCTCTGATACAACTTCCAGCCACAAATGAAGGGCAAAGGTCTGCACACTGAACTAAATGGGCCCCACCATCTATGAGCTTATAGAACAGTCACTGTCAAGACTGAGAGTGTTGAAGTTTATGAACAGTGAAAGGATGGATGGGAACAGAGGAATGGGAAGTGGAGAGGAAGCAAGAGGACAGGAGACAAAAAGAGATAAAGAAGAAACATGGGAGAGATTGGAAACCAGTGAATATAAAGAAGAACACAAGCATGCAGTCCCAACATGACTCCAGAGAAAGAAGCACTCCAGTAAAATCACACTGGCAGATGAAGGTATTAAAGATAAATGGGAGGCCAAAGCACTAGAGTAAGAAGGACATTTCACCCAATAAATTATAGTAATCAGTCAACTAAATATGAAGTGATAAGACCAAAGAAAAAAACACATCACTTTAGAAGATGAACAAGTATCAACCAAAAATCCCTCAGAGAAAGGGTGGATCACCAGGGAAAGAAGGAGAATAGAAGAAATATAAAGTCAAAGGTCAGAAGAGGGTGGGAAAAATTAAGTTAAGCCTAAGAAAGTCAAGCAAAAGACAGAGGATCTGACCCCTGAGTCTGAAGAAAAACTCCAGAGTTTAGGAGTTTAAGAAAGATAATACAGGCATATAAGTAACAAAGGAAGGTGGAAGAGGCGTGCAAAGTCAAGCAAAAGACAGAGGATCTGACCCCTGAGTCTGAAGAAACACTCCAGAGTTTAGGAGTTTAAGAAAGATAATACAGGCATATAAGTAACAAAGGAAGGTGGAAGAGGCATGCATGCACCAAAGTTGGGGTAAAAGTAATCAAATATATACTAGCATACCTGGAGAGGAGGGACAAAACATAAAAGTAAAAAGCAGGGAATGAAATACAAAGTGAAGGAGAGAAAGAAACATACCTGAGAAACCCTGTCAAAATTATGAGAAAAGGCTTAGGCAGAATCCAGACAACATGGGTATAAGATAAGGTAAATGTTAGGAAAAAACTGGCAAAATCCCTTTCATCATGAATGGGAACACAGATGGAGGTATTTCAGGTTCAAATGAAGGTTCAGGCTGCATGCAAGACTACATCACCTACCATACAAAAGCAACACTTTTTCAACAGATAAAAACAAACCCAACACTATTTTAAGTCTAGTATGAACAACATCTTTTTGTCCCACACCAGACACTTGTGATATAAATATGTGGAAATAAAAGGCCAAAAAATCTGCATGTGCAGAAAATGTTGGAAAACGAAAATCCAACATGAAATATTTCCACAACACTTAATGTCTTTAAAGATATGTCCACAAAAAAAACAGAAAAACACCTAAATATGAAAAGTTCACTATCAAAATAAAAAGATAAGTCTGTGTGTACAGGAGTGCTGAATTGAGAAGTGATGACTGAACAATCAGTATAGAGGGAGTCAGCAGGGTGTGTTGTCGCATTTCTATTGGTGGAGGGTTGTTACCTGCTCACTTGCATGCAGCAATATCATGCAGAAACACGTGATCTTAGCCAGGAGTTTCAAGGATAGTGGTGATCAGAAATTGTACATACAGAGGGCAGCAATGAATTGGGAAAGCTATCATGTGATTATAAACAGCAGGGTATTGTATCGAAATTACTACTTCTGAAACACAAACGATGGATTGTTATCACAAACTTTAATCATAAATTTCAAGATAAGTTGTTAAGTTTTAAAAGAACAAAATTTATTTACAATTAAAAGCAATACAATGTTAAAATCTTACATAATAAATAATTATTAAAAACAGGGGCTTGCCCTAAAAGACTTTATATGTTTTGGTGTCTATATGACATCATCTTCAGGAAGTTGCTATGAGTGAACCTCACACACACACTGAGAGTTAAGAACAATACAGAATGGAACTCTGACTTACCTGGGTAAAAAATAAAGAAATCACAACTGAGACAGCAGTGATGATAGTGAGTCACCCCAAACAAACCTCACGTTACTTGAGGTTAAGAGCAATGTCAAATGGAACTCTGACTTACCTGAGTACAAAAGACGCCACAACTGGGACAACAGTGATGTTGAGCAAGTCGCCACAAATGAACCTCACACATGGTGGTAAAAGGTATTTTTACAGAAGGGCGTACAAGTTGGTGGCAAGTTACAGAATTACAACAACCAACAAGCTGAAAAAGTACAAAATTATTCAAAATGTTTAGAATGTAAATACAAAATACTAGGTAGCAAAATAAATGTTAGACATTCAAGCAAATCATTATACTAAAATATGTTTCAAGTTAAAAGTATCACATTTATATCACAAGACTGCTTGATTTTTTTTGGCAAAGAATTTCAGGAATATTGATCAGAAATTCAGTTATAGTTATAATACAATAAGAACAGTTGGAAAGAAAAAACATACAAATGTTTCATTTATTGCTGTTGAATATATGTATGTATGTACATATATATATATCCATCCATCCGTCATTCAAAAAGTGATCAATGTGCTCAACTATTTCAGCATGACTGTTATTCATAAAACCTGCTGTCATAAAAACATTACTTGTAAAATGAAGTCTTGAAAGAAAAAGAAACTTGCTTTTTAATCTTTCACTTGCAATATTCACTCTTAATGACAATTTCTTTAACCTACTTAAAAGTTTATTGGCATGGCATTTAAAATGTACAACAGTCAAGTAATGTTTCTGTTTCTCTAACAGGAAGGAATTTTGTTTTTAGATAAAATATATTTAGATATTTTGGGATAGTTAATACAATGAAGTATAATGCATCACACAATATACAAATCACTTGTTTCTTTTTTATCTATCTGTATATGTCTATCCATCCTTCAAAATGTTCTCAACTATTTCAAAACATCAACTGTACATTGTTATGAAACCTGCAATCTTAAAAAAAGTTACTTGTAACATTAAAATTGTTATATATATATATATAAATAATCTATAAATCAATATTGAACAGTGTGCTTATAAAATTTATACAGACAAAGAAAATACATCATCATAAGACATTACTCAAATATGTTTAATTTTTCTCAATTCAAAATAACCCTATGTCAATAGCACTGAAGCTATACATAGTCAACTTCACTAAATTTATAAATGCTCTAAGTATATTATCACAAAATTTTGCAAGCTTTTAGGAAGCACTACAATTCTGTTGTACACAAAAAAATCAGAATTTCTAATGAATTATTTATATTAAAGATTTCTCTATGAATTTCCAAAGCCTTTGCTAAGTCAATCTAAGTGGAAGATGATTTCCATGTTAAGAATAAAAATACCTTTTCCATCTTAGTTTCATATTCCATTTGTATAACATCTACAACTTCCTAAATGAATATCAAGTTTTTCTTTCAAATTATTGATAAAGTTTTATATTTTATTCTCTTATTTTCTCTACCCTAACATTAACAACACCAAGATCATCAATGTTCAATGAAACAAAAGGTTTAAAATATGAAATAAAATGAACAATACCCTTTTTCTCTTTCGATGAATCATTTTACTGATTTAATGGTCTTTTTATCTTCACAGTTTCAAAAGTTAATCTGTTCACATCAATTTTCTTTAATTATATGGTTTTATTGCTGTACCCATTTCAGCAGTAATTATCCATCAAAAGCAATAAACTTATAGCATTAGATCATTGACTAGTATTGTAAGCCTCACAAGCAAAGTGCATGACCTGTGTAATCTCTGTGAGTGCAAGCTTTAACTGTTAGACCTCAGTTTCTTTACTAAATTACTTCTTCAAATAAAATTTCATGTTACTTTCAAACATGCAAGTTAGAACATCAAAAAATATATCAGGCATTAGAATAGAATATACCAAAACTACTATAATTTAACTGGCTTTCTCACTAAGCTACATAACTAAGTTCAAAGGTGAACAATAACAATCACAAGTGAGCCATCTGAGGCAAAATATCTACATCTGTCTGCCAAAAAGAATGACAATATGATTTTTTTTCTGACAAATCACTCTTTCTATTGGTTATAAGCATAAATAAGTTTGTTCAAAGCTATGACAAGATGGGAGAAGCTTCACTGGAAGGTGACACAGATATTTTTACATCTCAGCAGTTTGAGAAAGAGGGAGATTCAAATTCTATAGTTTGGCCTGTCAATACCTACAGTTTGTGTTCTAATAGTTGGACAATTTGAAAATCATAAAAAGAGATAGAGAAATTAGAATTTCTAAAAGGGGGAAATCAACAGGGGAAGAGACATCATGTGATCCAGAGAAGTGAACACTACAAATCTACTTAAATATTTCCTTTTGAAATTAAGACATTAAAATTTCAATACTAGAAATCTTTGAATCATGAACTAGGTTTAAATCCACCTTACATTGATAATAAAGTTGTTTAATAAAAATGTTAACGTAACTCTACAGATAGTTATGACATGCCCACCTTGACCAAGACAGGATCATAAGGACTAATGGGGTAGAACATGAGTTGTAGAAGACATAATAAGCAGCTCCACTATTGTACATGAAAACAATGGGATAAATAAGGTTTGTTCAAACAAACAACTACCAGTGTACACATATATAAGGTTTGTCCCAATAAGTTACCAGTGTATAGCAAATTGCCTCACAATTTGTTGGTCTTGATCAACGTGTTTCCAAAGCATGAAAAATCTATATTTCAATGGCAAAATGGCACAAATTTCTTAAAATTACACAAGTTTAAAAATCATCCTAGCTAATTTTCTAATGCTAGAACAGTACTGTCTTGCTCCTTTTCACCATCAATTAACCTCAATAAAGCAACGACTAAACTTCTTATGCTGTTGACTCAAATTAATTTTTCTGTCACTTTTGATGAAATATTACAATATGGTTTCATTACATTATTACTTGTATCTATATGTAAAGATATATATCGACATAATAAAAATTTATTCTTACCCTGCCACTGATGGAATCTATGGCCTGACAAAATATCTTAGCTTCAGTTATCTGTGTAGCTTTAGGATCTAAAGGAGCCCCTTGACAAGTGCATCTAGACATCAATGGAAGTTTGCTGTCAACCTTAGGAATATAGAAAATCTTTGTATTTATTTAACTTGACCACACTTGATAAGACTAGAATTGTTTATTGATAGCTTCTTTGTTTTAAAAAAAAAATTTAAGGGACTTCAGCTTCTTCCACAAGCTCTTATATAAATACATTATTATTTAAAAATGACTTTTATAGTAGTCAGAAGTTAATTAAACACTACTAAAAAGAAAGCAAGATTAAACCAAAATATTAATAAAAGTTGATAAATATGAGCTTAATTAGTGGACCTTTACAATGATGTTCAAATTACATTACAGGTAAATTGTACGTGTGTGGGAAGGGGAGGTGCTAAACTTATAAATTACCTTACAGGTAAATTGTATGTGTGTGGGAAGGAGAGGTGTTAAAATAATAAATTACAGGTAAATTATATGTGTGTGGGAAGGGGGTGCTAAAATAATAAATTACAGGTAAATTGTATGTGTGTGGGAAGGTGGTGGGGGGTGTTAAAATAAATTATTTTCTAGTGTTCCAAAACACTTTTAATAAATTATAATGACAGCAGCCCCACTTTCTATTTCTAATAACAACAATGAGTGTTGCCATACCCGCACACACACACCTTATGCTGATGAAAAAGAACTAGGAGTTACTGTTGAACACCCATAATGAAACAGCACTTTAGTTACACAATCCCTAGTGATGCAGTGTTTTTAATATTTTGGGCAAGTGAAAAAGTTAATGGGGCATACTGTAAAGAGAGCAGAACATTCAATTACCACAATTTCAATGTGAGGTAGAAGTCCAGGGTTTCCTTCTTCAACAGGACTTGAAAGAACAACAGTTGGACCACAGGGTCCATGAAAAGCTACAATAATAATTAAAAAAAATTCAGAAAAAGAATTATTAAGTTTTACATACATTGCCCAAATAAAAATTATTCATAATTATAGTTCTGTAAAATCCTGACCAAATTTTCTTAATTTATGTATGTAACATTTGCTGTGCTAAAACACACCAGTTGTTGAAATAAAAACAAAATACTGAAAACTGTGATGATTTTTAAGGAAACACAAATCCAATGTACTCTGATATTTACACTTCATTGTGAAGAAAATTAGTGAGATCAAATAATTCAACCTTTCAATATTTTTAATATTTATACTAATTTTTATGGAACAATATAATATTAATTGTTTTTTTCCCTCTCCTTATATGAGATATAAAGGCTCTATTAAATTTAGTAAAGAGTAATTCCAGTATATAATTTTGGTCTTTTTCGCAACCTTCAGTTTTTTATCAATTTTTCTAAAAAAATGCTCAGGTTTGACTTATCGAGATTAAAAAGTTTGAAAATTCAAGTCAAAAACTCAATGTCACCGAAAAAATGAAGTAAAATATAATGTAAGGCATATATAATTTGCCAATTCTTAAAATTTCAATGAATTATGATATGAAAAAAAAAAAATTTTAAATAAATGTTTTGTTCTTCAGAACATTTTACTTATAGTCAAGCAACAGTAAAAAAATGTATACCTTATAATACTGAGGACATTGCTTATAGTGTAAAATTAATGTTAAAAGACATCTCTGGCTAAAGCAACTACACAACCTTTCTGTGTTACCTTTTTTGGCTTTTTTTTGTCCAATTCCATCTGAGCCAATGGAGACAGATGATGATAAACCCAATGAATCCACTTCATTGTGGTCATTTAGCAGATGACGTTTTACCCTCTGCCTACTTTTCACACTTGAAGCTATGCTAGACATAGTAGACTTTGTATCAAGTGATACTGTAATATATAAATTCAAAAGATTAGAAATCACTATAAAAATATATGATCATAAATTCCAGATAACCAACTATTTATATTCCTATAAGCATGTTCTCAAATGTTTTTATATTGGCTGACCAATTTTCCTGAAATCGACACTAGAGTATTAGTATTTCATACATGATATCTTAGTTGGAAAGTACAATTTCAATTTATTAGTTTCTTAACTTTACTGCATTTAAACTTCAACATAACCTACTTCAATAATCATTGTTAGGCCACACGCTATAGTGCCATGAAGACACAAAAAATGGTTACTTGATATTCCTTACTGCTACATATTGTATTAAATATTCAAACTGGTGAAAGTATCAGTTTAACCACTGAGAAAGGTGAAGGTCCAAAGACTGGGTAATAATATTCTACTCAAGTTGAAATTTTACAAACTTCAAGTTATTTAAATAAATATGTTTTCACTACAGAAACTGTAAGAATATTATACAGTTGTAAAAATGTTTGTCTAAACTACAGTTACTGTGAATAGTAAGCAAGAACACTATAACATTAATTGTTTAAACTGCAACAGTATTACACAGTATTCTAACTCCTCTTTACATAGAAGTAAAACATTAACTTTATAGATCCTAAATTTTGTGCACAATGTATTTCATGTTACACATCAAGATCAGCAAATATCTCTTGAAACTGCTAACAGAAATCACTATAGTACAGTCTCAATTTACAGAGCCAACATCTATCTATATTTTTTATTGAAAAAAAATTATATCAAAAACTATTAACAAAAGTTCAAATTTATGTTATTACAATATGTAACACTACATTTTTGTAGAAAATAGCAATAAATAAAAGTTGATAAAACATTGAATTTCTTTAAAAAGAATAACCATTTTATGTGGCATTAAAAAAAGATTTTCACTTTTTAATGGTTAGTGATAATTTTTTTTCAGCACACATTCAAGAAATCAACAAACAAAACTTGTTTCAGCAAAATAAGTGACCAACGTAAAATCCAAGAACATGTAAAAATTGTATTATTTATAAAATCTACTAACAATTGAATATTTCTGTAGTTATTCAATAATAAACACATCAAATTTTTTTAAAACAGCATTATTAAAATGTTTAAGTATTAATTTAAAAATGAGCAAATACAAAAAAAAAACAATGTAAGATAATGTATCAAAATAAATTTAATTCTCATAAACATGATGAAAACATACCATAAGAATCAGCTTCAATAATCCCATCATCTTCCATGAGGTTATCTTTTGAAGAAGTTTCCTCAACTACAGGAGGTTCTTCAGCTTTTTTAAAGTTCTTATCAACTGCTAGATCTGATGGCTGAGATGGCTCAGGTACAGCTGGCTCTTCTGTTGGTAGAAGTGCAGCATCTTCTTTAGTGTCAGCATTAGTGGAAATAGAATTTTCTTTGACCACTTCCATTTCTTCAGCCCTTTCTACGTGAAGGCAATTTGAGGAAATAAGATTTGAAGGTTCATCCAAAACCTCTGATTTGTCATTGTTACTGACTTCATCCTCAAACATTTTACAGTCTTTTGGCCTGCTTTCAGAGTTTTTTTGTTGTTGTGAGTCTATTACATTCAACCCAACGGGTTTTTGCTTCTTTATTTCTGATGTTAGTGGTAAAGATTCATCACAATTATGAGTTTCAGTACTTTGTCTTCCAGATGATATATGACCGTAATCAGATTCATCATCTTGCAAAGATACTTCTGAGGAGGTTCTAAATCCTTCACTTGTCTCACTGTCCTCTTCTTCAGAATCAATACAGCTACTTGTTTCTGTACCAGCTATACTAGAAATATCATCTTTTTGTTGAGAAAGTTCCCCTGGTCTGTCTTTGTTTTTCTTCTTTCTTTTACTCAAATAGAGATCATACGTAGCTCCCCTGAAATGTTTTGATTTTTTCTTCTTTTTCCCCATCATAACTTTAAAAGCTACTTGCTGTCTGGTTAGAACAGTATTTTGTAAAACACCAGGGATTACTGGAACTGTTGATGATTGTGGTAGAACTGGAGATTTTGGAGTTGAAGAAACTGTACCAATATTTTGACTTTTAGTTGGCTGGCTATTTACTTGAGTGCAAAGTGATTCTATTCTACTTGTATCTGCAATTTTCTTATTCTCTTTAAGATGATCTTCACTAGTGTTATCAGAAGCTGCGTCTTGTTCAATATCTTTACAAGGATGTTCCATCACATTTGTGTCTTTTTCCTCATCTTCATTCATATTTTCTGTTATTCCAATTTTACCTTTTAAGTCACTTTTTTCTAAAAGCTCACTCACTTGAGTCAAGGAATTATCACTGCTTTCAGATTTGGTTTCTGACTGAGAATCAATTTTACTTCTTAATACCTGACTTATTGAAGTTTTCATAAATGAATTGAGAATATTTTTCAAACCAGTCATATTAGAAACAGGTAGGCTAGCAGAAATGGGTCTCGTTTCATGTGAAGTTTGTCGAATCATCCCTGCAGGACTCACAGCCAGTTTTAACAATGCTTGATTCTGAATATGGTCACCTTTTGAAGGTGCACTCATCTTAGCTCTTCCTTCTTGTTTTTGATTAGTAAAGATAGGAGTCTTTGGTTTATTTTGAACAGTGAAGGAATTGGATGTAGATGAATCTTCTTTTTCAATGGAAGCTTTGATGTGCTCTTTCTGTAGTTCAGTGGTAGTCTTTTTAACATTTCTTATACTGTCTTTCATTGGAGTACCACCAGTTTGACTGCATGTTTTATCAACCAAATGTTTTTCTTTAGTAATAGAACCGTACAATCTTCCCAAGCTTTTTTTGGAAGTTTTAGGAAAGTCGTCAAAATAAGATTTTTCTTTACTCAGTCCAGGAGAAGCTTTTTTTTCTACAGATGGATTCATTTCTTCTAACTTTAACAAGGTCTTGAAATACACATCAAAATGAACTTTCTTCCTAAAATGTGAGCCAGCAATTTGAAAATGTCTTTAATATTGTCTATTTTATCATTATTTTCACATAAATCAAACACAGAAGTTTTAAGTTGATAATATTAATATGGTGAATTATTTCATTAAAAGATTTTTTATCTAAATAAGACACTGTTTTTAATATTCTTTGCCATTATGTTATTGTGCCTCTGATTTTTCAAATACGCTATATTTGAGATCTTTTGTTTTTGTAATTCATTTGGGTGTCTATGAATGCAATATTCCTTTTGTAATATTACAGGATCACAGCAAGATGTTCTTATAATTTTGGAATTTTTTGCTACTAGTAAATTGTATCAGTATTTTTGCCCGAGATTTGCTTTGATCATTAACTAGCAGCTTTAGATACTTTATTTAAATTACAATAAAAATTTTGAATCTTTTGTTTTTCAAGTAGAATAGTCAATTTATTTTTACTTTTGTTGATCAATTCTGATTTTAACTTGCTATTCAATAGCATATGATTAAGACACCAATCTTATTTATTACTATCTTTCCTCTTGAAAAGTGAATATTAAGAGAGAAGGTCTGTATTTAGAAAGTCTATCTGTGAATTGAACTTCACTGAGTAAAACATTCTTGACATCTGAAAGGATTTCTTCTTCAGAAAGTAAATCTTCACTGATTTATTGTTGAAGCTGGTAAAGGCATACATCACTTTGGAAAAATGATCCAGCCTCTATAAACACCTGCATTAAAGATGGAAAAGATTCAGTTATGATTAAAACAAAACTAGAATACTCAAAAATTTGATGCTTTCAACAACCACTTTTTAACTTATCCATATGAATGTCACACAATCATTTACCTAAAAATATGTAAACATCAAACCAAATGTACTCTGCTTTAACCGTGTAGTATGTGAATACACATTTCAAGAACAATAAAGAAAACTAAATCTAACCAACATCTTAAAAGTAGCTTCCATTATTTAGGAATGAAGTGTCTTTTTCATCCATATTTGTTTCATTCTTTTTTGCTATTTGTCATGCTAAATTCAAAGCATCACCAACATATTTTTAGCTAATTATCTGCAATAAATGTTATACTTTGAGATATAAATTATCTCTTAATATCACATTTTGTGACTATGCAGCTTTCAAAAGTCTGCAGTGTATTAAGTTACCACTGTTATTCAATTATCAGCTATAAAGTTATGGAATTATGCTAATGCAACAAACCTAACAAGTACAAGGAATGGGAAATAGCTACAAATAGCTCTGTTCCACAGTAAGAATTCCAAAATCATAAAGTCGTATCTAACAAACTACTTTAAGAAAAATAAATGCATCATGGTAAAAAATGCTGTGCAATATGATTCTTTGACCAAACTCAAATCAAATCTTTTGAAGTAACAATCATGATCAAAACATTTCACATGTACAAAATCAGCCAAGTTAGAATAAAGGGGTCAGAAACTTAAACAAGAAAATATTAGAAGATAGTTGGCCCCATTTATTACTGCAAGTATAATAAGCAGCAACCTGAATGTAGAAAGGCGGCTAAGTTTTCACCAATGTGTTTTAAGTTACTTACTTTCATGTTACATTTTTAATCTGTCCACAAATTAGTAATATATTCTATGAAAAAAAAAAGTTTAAATCAGTAACATGTTTGATGGAAGTAAACAATTTTCAGAATAGATTATCATACGCTCATAAATTTCCGAGGTTTATTCATGACTAGATTAAATAAAAATTTTTGTATCCCAACAACACTCTCATAGCATTTAAAAAAACACATCAACTTGGTTATTATTTATGTTCTGTATTCATAGCTAGATTTTGTGAGGTTTAGCACTAAATGTTTGAAATCAACCTTTTTCAATTTTAATGGTATTCATTTAAAAACATTAACAACATTATAAGTACCCCTTAGTGGTACAATTACAGCTGCATGACAACTGGCAATAGATTATTCTAAGGAGAATTTCAAGCAAGAAATCTGAAAATTTATTTTACATTAATAGCTTTTAACATATCCTAACATAAGAGTAATTGAATAATAGGCCAAAAACCTTTTTCTCCCCCCGTTTGAACAGTTCTCCTAAATTTTGAAATCAAAATCAACGTTTCATTTGATATTACCTTTCATTTACCGTAAGCTACCTTTTACTTCAAAAATGAAAATTAATTGGTAACGAGTATACGTAATTAAATATACTGCTCCTACATTCTTACTTACAAAGAATAACATGCATTGTTTCATCAGTTGGGTACCCTTGCCGTTAACAGTATTTCTGGCCAGTTAAGTTTTTCCAGAATAATCACTACTGTGAATATTTTGAGGTAAACAGAATGAAAACTTTTACATGAATCAAGCAGATGTAGGGCTGACTGGCAAGTAAAAAAAAAAAAAAAAAAAAAAAAAAAAAAAAAAAAAAAAAAA